TCAGACCCTGATGCACCAGAACCAGAGGCAGTAGCTGTGTTAATTCAGGGGCTGCATTAGAAAGAGACGGGACTTGTAAGGACCCAAAGGTTGAAGCGACTGTCGGTAAATGAGACGATGTGGCCTATGGACGACTTTCTTTTGTGTGTGTTACCAACTATTCCTGCTGTACCGTTGCACCTCTTGTCGCCTAGCAACCTAACAGCCGAAGCTCTGTGCTCTTATGACATTCGACAAGAGAATGCCCACATTTTCTAATTTCACTGTTTTGGTTTTGGGCTGCAGGTGAACCTGCCTTCACCCTGAGTCAGCTGGGATAGGCTCCGCCCCCCATGACCCTGGTGAGGATGAAGGTGTAGAGATGATGGACGGATGGATGATATAGATGGAGATCACCCAATAAAGTCCACCGTGTTCTCAGACATCCAACCACTACCCGTATGCAACTGAATGAAATGTTCTGTTTTATGGATGTAGCACCAACTCACAGCATGTCACCTCCAAGCACGTCCCACAGCAAACTGAAGACCTGAGAAGCCGTTTGAGGCCACATGTGGTCTCTCTTTTTCAGCTGATGCTCCGGCTGCATCATTTTGCTTTAGGAGAAAAAATCCACTGGCTTGTTTGTTTTTCTTTAAACCAATCGTAGTTGTCGTGGGCGGGGCTGATCTAAGGACGCTTTGGTGGAACATAGGCAAGCATAGAGAGGAGCACCTAGATTGAAATGTGTGTCCTGCTACAGATCCAGATCTTCTGCAAAACTTGAACTTTTGAGTGTATGGGGTTGCTGCTTCCCTCAGTAAGGAAAATGGTAGATATTGGAATGACGGACAAGCGCAGCTAAAAGGAGCTTATACCCACACCTGACATCTGGTGAGTCAGACTAGTGAACATTTAACGAAGCCTTTAGTGTGAGGAGCCTTCATCCTGCCACTGTGATGCTGTCACTTGTCCTTGAATGCAGCCTTGGAAGGATGAACCCCTAGAGCAGGACACAGCCTCTGGTTTTTTCAGGCAACACGATCCTGTTTCTTGTCAAAAACTGGCATCTACATGAACTGTAGTGCAGCTGGACCAGTGGTGGTTTTGGATGCTATTCGTGGTTGCAGAGATGTTTTCTCTCTATTTCATTTTAAACCCACAGTCCTCAGACCCAACTGATGCAAACTCAACCTACATCACTTAAGGACATTTTTCAGATTTTGCACAGCTCGCTCAGGTCCGACTTCGGTGTTGTTCCTCTTGATATTTAAAATCTCAGCTTTAACGCCAGACCATCCAGACAGAGAGGGAATTCTTCTCTTTCCCCTCCTCGCCTTTATCTCTGGTCATTTAATCAGCCCCTGATAAAGAAAACAGTCCAAACAGTTTCTTCAGGGTGGTGCGTTCCCCTCCACCGCTCGCGTCTCCCTGAGAGCCGCTTGTGTTTCACTGCCGGAGAAAGAGAAGAGCCGGACCCGACCCGACCCAGGACACACACTGCTGGTCCCCTGTGGGCATCGGCAGCAGACTACAGGAGGGGATTGGGTTCACAGCACCCTGGGGTGACTGAAGGGAATGAGGTAGGGAGTTGAAATAACATCCAGGGCAACCCAAGAATAGGAGAAGTGCGATATCTCATCCCTGTTCCCCACAGAGCAGCCCCCCAAAAAGGGCGGACACGGCCGCTGCACAGAACCATAAAAGAATTCATAAGAACCAGGCTGGCCTCCGTCTTCCTTCAACCCGCTCTGTCTCAGTATGACTTCACCACTGAACGTACGTGCAGCAGTAGCGAGGCCATTTTTAAAAGCCCCGTGTTGTCTGATCTTTGACTCCCCACAAGCTCAGAACCTTGAATACATTACGGTGCTGAGCTGGTGTCACACAAGACCACATCAAAGTCGTCCGGACGGTCTCACATGGAAGCTTCACTGTTGTCTCCGAGAGTTTTATCAAGAAGACATGATCTTCTTTCTTCCATTCCAGGGGACTCATGTAACCTGTCAGGGGCTTTTAGAGGAAACGTTCAAGCACAGAAGTGTTTCAGACGTGACCTCGGATGTCAGCGCTTCGCCAAAATAGTTAGACAGCCCTCCAGCGCCTCTCTGTGCATCCACTGCTTATTTCAAAGTACTCTCCACTCATCACATCTTGCATTAGCTGGAAGGCACTGCTTCCTCCCAGACCTTCATCCTTGTAACATCCAAGCACACAAACCTCCTGGATGCTACAAAATCCAAGCTAGTCTCCACATACAGCGTTCCTATTCAGCTAAGCTGCCTTCTCAAGTCATTTTTTATCATAAATGCGTTTCTAAATGGCGAGGTACGTTAATCGTTGTGCTGCTTTGGGGTCACTTTTTTCAGCAAACCAATCACATGTTGGCTGGTGTCAGTCGGGTCGCCCAGAAAATGAAGGAGAAGCTTAAAAAATGTAGTGAAAATCTTTTTATCTAAACCAGGATATTTCCTTCAATGTAAACATCTGGTTTTGCTGCTGAAACCTCACTGAGCTCCCAGCGAGTAGCTGAAGTGAAAGTTCATGGTTTAACCCAAACTTTGATGCTTTTCCTCACCTACTCAGGCTTCAAACATCTAAAAATGTCCACCAAACCATGATCGTTTGCTCAACCGACCCAGAAAGCAAGTGAAACCTGAAAGGAAACAACCACAATGAATGAAACTAAGCCTGAGACTGATGATCTCTTGTCAATCACGAGATGCCAAAACCAGTCTTCTGGGCCAAAGTAAAGCCTCCATCTCCTCTTTTATGTCTTCATGCTGAGTTTGCTGCTCTTTTAAACCGGCCGGCTTCGTCAACACGTCACAGGCGACAAATCACGAAACAGAATTCCTCTCAGACATAATTTAGCTAAAGGGACATAACGTGGTGCAGACAGAGCTGGATGATCACACACAGCTCTGGGCTCTGAGGAACCACATCAGGCAGAAATCACACCAGCGTGTTGGTCGTCGTGTCTCTTTTGTCGCTGCCTCTCTTTCCCTTCCTTCTCCTTTTCTCTCTTTCTGTCTCGCTAAGTCTCTCGCCGTCCTGGTCTACCTCCTGTCTCTGCCGAGGAAATCCAGGGATTACCAGAAGGACAATCTCAGTGGCAGAGGCCTGCTGCTCCCAGCCTCCCCACAAAGCCTCCCCATTCTTTCCCCTCCTCCCTCCTTCCGTCCTGTCTGATTTCCTTTCCGAGGCAGGGGGTGAGGAGCTAATGACGGGAGATATCTCAGTTTGGTACGGTGAAAAATCATCCAAACATCCCCCTCCTTCTTCTGTTTTTCTTTTCCGTCCAGCCTGCGTTTAATTCTCAGCACCTTCCTCTGCTCGCTGCTCTCCTCCTGTTTATCTTCTTCCCTCCAATAAAACCAGAGCTATAGGCACCCATAAACACAGTCCTGCTCTGCACCCCCTCCGGTCCCCAGAGCCTCCTGCCTCTCCTCTTAATAAGAGTCTCCAGTGAATGGGGTGGGTGGGTGTCGCCCCTTCACTTGTCCACAAATAAACCCGGCTGTTTGACTTGGCAGCACCGCCGCTGCGCCAGTCATCCCAGCTTTCCTGCCTCCCCAGAAAACAGAGAAAATAATAAAGTATCACTTGATCTGCAGTGAAAAAAGCAGGCAGACAGCTGGTTCCTCACCGTACAGCCCACGAGCAAAGCAGCGTGGAAAATTACAGGGGAAGCTGTGCTAATTGTTTGTTTTCCTTCAGCATCAGCGGTCCAGAGCTGTTAAAGAGGAATAAGTGTGAGTGCAAATAGGAGAGGAAGCGCTGCAGGAGTGATGTCGGCAAAACTGAAATGAATTGATGTGAAAACAAGATGCTTGATTTAAAAAGGTCAAATGAAGTGAACACTTTAGCTCCTCTACTACAACACAGTGGTTAAAATAAAGAGGACCGAGGTGAGGTTCCTCAGAGCTTCATGCAGCTTCTGCTTTCTGAGAAGTCTTCTAGCATCTCTCAGCTCACTGTCTGGTTTCACCGCTCACAACTTTAAAGGTGTTTTTATGCTAGAAGACATATTATGAGCAAAATAAGCAGTCAACACCATAACTTGGCATTTTTCTGCATTCAAACAGCCGTCTGTGGGTTGCAGGCGCAGAAACACTGAGACTGATCCAGAGTTCTGGTATTTATACGTAACAAACCGAAGACTCGTGTCAACTTCCTGCATCAGGATTCGTCTTTCTGGTTCTAACATTTAGATGAATATGCTCCAACGACACAGCGTGCAGTAGATTCCCAGACTTCTAGGGTAGTTGTAGGTGAGCTGGTGTGCTGAATGTGCACAGATCTGCACATTCTACAAGGAAGAAGCAGCACAGAGTTACTTCTCAGCCAATTTAGGGCTCAAAGGGTTTGTTTTGATGGAACAAATCTTCTAAATATGTAACTCTGACACACAGGGACGTGAAGCAACAGTAGGAATCTGTTTGCATGGTGCAGGAACACAACACAACTGATGGTGGCGCTGCTGAGCGCTCACAGTTTGATACGTCAATGTTCAGTCAAACTCACAGAGAAGTGGCTAAAAATCAGTCAGTCCAGTGGATATGTTCAAAAAAATGCTCTTCAAGTGCATTGATGATTGGTGATAAAAAATATGGTTTTTCATAAATATTAGAACTTGTAAAACTTGATGAAATGTAGCTCAAACTTTCACTGTTCATAAAATTAGCTCCTCTGAATCCCCTTCAGAGTCACTGAGAACCGAAGAGAAACACTTCCTGCATGTTTACGAGGTGCCGGAGGACCAGGTGTTGACAGCAGCGCCTCTAATGAAGGTCTTTAAAAGCTTTTCAAATGGGATTTTATTAAAACAAGTAGAGATGTGAGTGAGTTTGCTCGGCTTCTTAAGTCCGGTCATTTTCTTGACCAGAGCCTTCAGGCTTCTGCAGTTGTTTGAAGGAAAACGAGATTACAGGTCTTATTGCAGGTCTTGCTAAGATGCAGGCTAGACCGGGTCACCCTGACCTCGTGTCACCCAAAACTCAGAGTCCACCTCGAACGTCTCGGCCTCCGCTAATCCAAGCACATTTCACATTCACATTTTTTCCAAGGGAAAGACTCTGACTGAATTCCACTGGATTTATCCATCTCCCATTATGATGTGTGATGCTATGCAAACCAGATGAGCTGGGTCTTCTCCACGGCATGAGAAAGGAGGCGGCAGAAACAGCCGTGTATGTTTAAAACATGCCTCCCCGGCCTCAAACCAGCCCGACCACTCTCTCTTATCTCCTCCAGTCTGCTTTGGTTGGACTAATGGCTTCAGACAGAATAATTCCCAAAGAGTGATTTGTTCTTTGCGGACTCCACATCTGAGGACCGGCTGAAACCTGAGAGCAACACATAATCTGCTGCGTGAACATAAATTGTGTAACTGAAGGAAACGCTGCGCCCAAAACGAGAAACGGCAAGTGTCCGGACAGCAGGCCGAAGCCGATCCAGGTGACTGGGTCCGCTCCAGAACCAGAGGAATCCTTGTGGAGGTTTTTGTGCGTGCAAGTCAAACGCAGCGCAGCCTTCAATCACCACACGTCGTTCTGGTGATTTTCAAATGATGTAATGCCAAGCTGAGCTACCCTGGCCTTTACTAAAATAAATCACTGCTTCAGCTCAGCTTCATGCATCAACTCAGCAAGAAACCAAGTCAGAATTGTTCTTGTTTGCACTGTTTGACAGGCAGATTGGATTTCTCCTGCAGAGTGGTGGACACTTGAGAGTGTAACGCCGCAGACCACAGCCGTAAAAAAAAAGAAAAGAGAAAAAGAAAGAAGCATATTTTCATATCAAAAGGATGTGATGGAGAGGCTAGGACCTTCTGCAGAGTGTGTCAGCAGAAGGTAAACGGAGGAGGAGAGAGAAAAACAAGCAAAGGGAGATGAAATAAAGAGAGGAAAAGAAAAAAGACACAGCAGGAGGCAGAAAGTAGAAAATCTATAAGAGGAGAGACAAAAGGGCCACATGGTTACAGTTAACCAGGAGAGACTCATCGCCCTGCACCTCCTCCTCCTCCTCCTCCTCAGATCTGGAGCACAGCTGGCTGCTCCTCTCCTCCACCATCACCCCCTTTTCATCCTCACAAAGCCCCTCCATCCTCAGACCTGTCCCCATCCCTCCGACAACAACTCACATCTCTCTTCATCTTCCATCAATTCCCAAACCCCTCAATCACCAGCCTTCCTCCCTTTTCTCCACCCAGGTTATGCGCTCGCAGTGACAAATCTCTAGATTATACAGTCCGGCCCTTCATCTCTCTCCCACCCATCCCTCTTGCTCTCTTTCTCTTTCATTTGATGGCGGCTCTCCTTCCACCACTGTCACTGATCTCTGTTTATTTAGCTTTCATGTCCTTCCTCCTTCCTGTGCTCCACGGCGAAAACACACTCGCTTCTCTCTGCAGGAGCGTGCACTTGTAACTTGCGTGCATGCATGTGGATACTGAGCGTTTGTGTTCCCACATGCGTCTGTCTTCACTCCAGAGTTTGTCCAAATTGCACAGAGCTGCGACTGTCTAACAGGCCGGAGCGGCAGAAGCAGCAGTCAGTGAACCAGACTCCCTCCTCTGCTTCGGTCACGCCTCTATTAGAGCCGATGCTGAAGCTAACGCAGCGTAATCCCACACAAGCACACCATTTCACGGCAAATCAGCTGGAGAAATGTTCGATTTCATGCGAGCGCATTGGGCCTGCAGAAAACCAGAGCGGAGACAGAGCAGGACTGTAACGTAAAACCTTTCAGAGAACAACCGGTGCATGTGTGAGGGAGTGTTAAATATGAGGGTGGAAATCGCGCTATGAGTGAAGGTCATGCTGCTCAATCATTTCAAAACCTTCTGTCAGCACATCCACCAGGAAGTCCAACTCCAGGAAAGCGTGGACGCAAACACACACAACATTTCCAACCTTTCCAACTATTGCCAACCAACGCCTGCCAGCACCTAAACGTTAAGGGACCACCGGAGAGATTGTTGATGTGTTTGACAGACAGAAAAAGGTATTTTTAATGTTGGAAAGTGTGCTGGCTCCACGTTCTGCTCATTATAACTTTATGTGCTTTGCATGTGATGATCTTTGTCTTTGTAAATGTGGAGTTTGGTCGTACCTTCCAGAAGTTCCAGAGTTGTTTTTCACATGTTGTCTTCTTATCTGAGCCCCCCGAGCTTTCTCCAAGTTAGCATTTAGAGGCTCTTTTGCTATGAAATAACAAACTGTAAGCATCAGCCTACATGCTGGTACTGACCGGTTCTATCCTGCAATAAGGCAGATCGCTTGGTTCTTTCAGTGAACTTTCCATTTTCATGACAGTGCTGCTGCATGCACAGGTTCCACCACATCAGCTCACTTATTACTATTTCACAGAGACACCACCACTACATCCTGGGCTTAACGCCACCTAAGATGAATAGAATTGGTTTAAAGAAATGCAAACAAGCCAGAGTCAGGGTGTTTTTTAGGTACAACCAGTCCATTACGCAGCAAAGTGAGACTGTTCTGACTGAGCAAGACGAGTGGTAAGGCTACTTTTAAGGACTCAGCTGGGTTTTGCTCAGAGGTGGAGGGTACATGAACCTTTGGATGCTCCACTAGCTGCTGCTGCTGGTCAGTAAATACCTCTTAGCTGACTACATTTGGCCGCATTGGCAAAAACAGACAACAGCTCATATTTCTTCTGTTTACGTGACTAATGAAAAATACAGTTTCCAGTATTATTCCCGCGTACATGCAGCCCTGCAGACTCTAATGTTTTCCACTGGTTGCAGAATGGTTCGACCTCACAGAGACAGCCTCCCGCTTTCATTCCCTCCACCGTCTTCCTGAAAAGGTCGCTGTTGGAATATCCAAAAACCTTTCATGATGTCTTAACGTAGGTGTGTTTTTCTTCCTGACCAAAGCTTCTTTGTGTGTGAGCGTCTCCACCAAGCCGTTTGCATCGAGTCCAACCCACAGCGCTGACGGTGAGCAGCTCAGAGAAGATGCGTCACAAACGTAGATAAAAACGACGGTTCTGTGTTGGCAAACAGAGAGCATTGTGGGAGTTCAGTTTGTAAAGAGGCACCGTGACATGACAAAGTTTCTGCGATGCTTCATGACATCTGACTATTGTGCTTCTCTTAAATGAAGCCAGGACCAACCTGGGCAGCGTTCCTGTTCCCTGGTGGCAGACGTAGCGGCGACCTTCACACAGGACAACTCAGCGCTCAGTCTGGACCACAAATGATTCAGCTGTCACCTGATAAGGCTGCGGCATTTATTCAGCCTTCAACATCTGTGTGACAGCACATGTTAAAAACAGAAATGAGCCGCGGCTCGTCCCCCAACCAATCAGATAAAACCTGCCTTGATTGGCCCTGATCTAGATTTTTCAATTAGTCCCAGTCCAGGTCTCACAGTCAGGATCAGGACCTGAATGTGAGACAAACACCAAGTGCACTGAATGCATGTCCAAAGACTTGATCAGGAAATTTAGAGCATCTAAAGCCAATCTGCTGTTTGCATGACCCCTATGTGTGTGTATATATAATTTTGGAATATTTTCATAATCAGAAAGACAGAGCAATGTTTGTTTGTTTGTTTGTTTTGTTTGTGTATAAACAGTTATTGATTGCAGTCATGTGCAATGCGACTAATTAGTTCTGCCATTGAGCCGTTTGTAAAGTGATTTGCTTCCCAGAAATTAAACTGACCACAAACTTTCTGACTCGTGCACCTCGTTGTCTCTCTGCTCTGTTTCACTGTCTGTCTGTGTGAATGAAAGGCAGACGAAGAGATGACTATCGATCACTTGATATGTCCTGGACTGACTGAAACACATCTTAGTCTGATTCCACAGCACATGGACGGATCACACCGAAGCACACAGAGCCGTTTAAAGCTCAGGCTCCCTCGCAGGCCTTTGAATAGCAGCAATCTGGACAGAGGAGTGAAAACTCAGCTGGTGACGGAGAACAAACTAGAAAAGAATTGGTGAGAAAAAACACAACACGAGAAGGAGGGAGGTGCGTAAAACTGAAAATGAGGTGGTATAATAGAAGTTCCTGGTGTTACTGCCAAAGTGTTTCACTCACCTATAGAATATATACAGTCATGTGTTTAAAGTCTGTTCTTGAAAACACTGAATTCAGAAGTGTTTCTGCTATAAAAGCTCGACCCGGAAGACAAGCATGAGCTAAAACGAACAATGTGATTCTGCAGCTTGGCTGTTTCTCACATTAAAACGGGTTAGAAGTGATACATGAGCTCGTTAAAGGCTCCAAATCCACATTCTTAACTGGTTCCTCCAAGTAGTTTAAAACAGGAAAGAGTTGTACTTTAATTTAAAATCATTTCAAAGTAAAAGAATCAGGAAAAAGCTCTGAGTTTCGTGAGACTTCTGACTTTTGCATTCGGCGCAGAGGCCCTGCAGCGATTCAGTGAATATCATCTTCAGCTCCCTTCATCAGATTATGATTCAGAATTTAAGGGGAAAATATGATCTATGTTTTAGGGACGTGCTCCTCTTAATTACAGAGGTTAAGAAGTTTTAGCCTCTCCATGCTGCAGTTAATTAGCAGGCTGTGCTCACAGTGACAGCTGAATCAGACATCAAGCCCGTGCAGAAAATTGGACCGAGGAGGAATTAATCATGTTTACGAGCGTCCCATAAATGAGTCTGCCTGCATCGTCGCAGCAACTAATCAACATTGGAGGAAAGACAGTCGGAGGAAACACGCATTCGAATGAGTGTTTAAGTGTGTTTGTGTGTGACAGACAGAGAAAATACAGACGCAGGAAAAAATGTATTTGTGTGCGAGGAAGCGAGACGTGGAAGCCAACATGGAGACCGAACAAAACAGACAAACAAACAGACAGGAAAACTCACAGAAGCAGCGAGTGGGAGGCGGCGGAGGGGAGCGATGGGATACTGGGACCACTGGTCTGGGCTGCCAGTGGTTTGGAGGTGGGAGGCAGAGTCTGGACTGCATGTGGTGGAGGGCCTTACAGGAACGCTGGCCATAGATTAGTAGCTCTTCCTTAAGCTGGCCTTGACTGTGAGCGGCGCTGGCTGTCACATCAGAGGCCGGGGCATTTAACTGCCCTCATAAGACTCTCATTATTTCATAAATCTGCAGTTTAGGCACTTAGCTTTGTTGATCTGAGCCCCTGCCAGAGCTCAGAGAATGTTTTTACAATCTCCTTAATTTATTTACAACCTTGATTCATTTGTGTGTGTGTGTGTGTGT